CCAATGGAATGATATATTCCTAATCGGAGCTATAATACTTAAATAAAGAAAGCATCTAACTTATTGATAGGAGAAAACTTGTTAATTGTGTTCACAATAGGTTTTTTTTTATTGTTTAAACTATTACTAATAGCAGTACATATGTCTCCTTTTTTTCCCCATTGACCTTCCCCCAACCTCCCCAAAGGATGCATCAGGATGAAGGTAAATTTAGACTCAAAACAGACAAAGAAAACAGACAGGCCTTGTCTACATTATTGGCACTGAGAGCTGTCCACTGGCTAAGCCACTGTTCAAGTATTACTCTCAGTTGTAAAGAAATTGGAGAGATAGCCAAATAAATAATTGTCTCCTTAAAACTTAAAGTTATCAAGAACTGTAAGCCTACCAACCAGGCTCAAATTATCATGGTAGATGAGCAAACTTCTGTGGGAATTTTTCGGCATAAAAAGAAACAGTGAGCTCATATAACAGTGAGCTTGAAAACTCTGCTGCTTTTATTTACTTTAGCAGATATTGAGAATGTACCCTGTGATAGACTTGGGGGGAAACAGGAGAATGAAACCTGGCCCTATGGTTTTTACTACTAGAGAACCTTCTGTCACCTTAAACAGACTTCATATTTAAAATTAACTTGAAAAACTTTATGGATCCAACACATGCGCGCGTGTTGGATCCACAAATATACCACATGCATGCAAATTCCATCACTGTCATTTCCACGTAACTTCAGGAACATGTAGTCCATGTGAAATACTTTTCAACAGCTTCTTCCTGGAAATTAGACACAGGCCTGAAGTTCAGATTTTAACACTTGACTGCTTTCTGCATGAAACAGTGACCAAAAGAAACTGAGGACTAGTTAAATAGATCATAGATCATACACTCTCAGAGTTACAATTTAGGAGTTACTCAATAATCGTCAATCCAAATCAAATTGAAGGTGTGCTTTAGCCAAAATTAATCAGAGCATCAGGACATTTAGAACTCCTGCTTCTAGGCAACTATAACAAAATATATTCATCAGCTACTTGTTAATTAAATGGAAATCAAATGAAAATATACTTGGCTGCCAGAGGCTGGGTTGTTGGCAGTGATTAACTGTATTGATCGAGGACTTTTCATTAGATCTCCCTGGGAGGCGATGGTTACAAGTACTTGATGGACACAAAATGCAGATGAGGGTCAGACTTTGTGATGGGGAAAACGTAGAATTCCTTCCTACACCTGGACCAGTATGTCCAATATTTAAAGTAGATTTGGGTTCTTCTAAGCTTCCATTGCTCAAATATCATGTTAACCATGGTTTCTGAGGATCAATCTTATAGGGCCTCCTCTCCAACTCTCAACCTTTTCATTTTCACCATCAGCCTACCACTTTGCCCCAAATAGAAAACACTAACTTTTCTCCATTCTTCAAAAGTAAACTGTCCCGCTACTCCTGAATGTGGCTACCCTTAGGTTAAATGTGGGCTACAGAAAGAAGTTAAAGCCGGCACAGTGATGGCAACAGTGAGTTTGAACACTGGACTTTACTCAATTTTCAAATCCATTTGCATCATGGAGAAGCTTTTTGTTGGCCATGACCTTTGCTAGGATCCTGTTTCCTGCCAAGATTCTCAAGCTCCTCTTCTCATTTCCATCTCTCTTCTCTTTTTCATCCTTCCCAAGTTCTCATTCTGCCCCCTCCGCCTTTAACAGAGCTGCTATGAGTAACAACAGATTTCCTGAGACTCTGTTATGCAGAGAATTACTTTCAGAATATTCCCAAGACCACACTTCTATTATCAAAAATCACCACTATGGTATTTGTTCTAACTAAGGAGAAGCTATCCTTCCTAACATAAATTTGTCAAGAGATTCATGTAGCTGACTTCTTTTCAAAATAATTAATATTTTCTCTCATTTTGCTCATCCCTCCAGTCTTTCAATAAATGTTTATTTAGTCTACATAAGCCACTATGCTAGTCTTTGGGGGAAAAGGAACATTTTATAAATAAATAATTCAATCAAATTTTACCAGATCAAATACTCAAATGTTTTAGCTCTACATTGGTTATAAATATGCCAGTGAATGGTTCAATTCATTTAGAGTCTTCTTATTTTGCATAACAACTACTTAGAAATCAGTTATTATTTGAATTTAACTGGCTCATCTTCAAAGTAATGAAATCTTTGCTCTCAACTAGTTGTTTTTAAATCTCTTGAAATGCAAGCATAGCTTTAAGAAATCTGAAGAACATCATCTCATCATAACATATGCTCATTGATATGAAACAACACAAATCTATTTCTTCAATGTAGGACTGTCAGCACAATAAAGCTTTCTGGCCATGTTCTGCTTTATGGAAAACTTTATTAGTCTCAATTCAAATGATATAATTTTGGGATTTTTTTTTTTTAAATATATATTTTATTGATTTTGTACAGAGAGGAAGGGAGAGAGATAGAGAGCTAGAAACATCGATGAGAGAGAGTCATCGATCAGCTGCCTCTTGCACACCCCCTACTGGGGATATGCCCGCAGCCAAGGTACATGCCCTTGACCGGAATCGAACCCGGGTCCCTCAGTCCCCAAGCCGACGCTCTATCCATTGAGCCAAACTGGTCTCGGCAATTTTTGGATCTTTTGATGCTGGTTCTAAACCCACTTTACCAGTAAGGAATCTGAAAAACCATTATATAATGTGTCACTACTAAGGAATTCCATAAGCAGCAGATAACAAGTATTTCCATATGAAGGGGTAACAGTGGGCATTAGTTTGTTTTTGGTACATGTATCATGCTAAATTTAACCTTTATGATGACAGCAACTGTAGACTCTTCTTTGAAAGAACAGCATAACAATTCTCAATTCATGACCCAAGCGAGGAAAGTGGTAGGTTTTGTGTCAGCTGAGTCAGAGCAACACCACAGCCTGGGAAAATTATCCTTAGTCATAACAATATCTGAAGTAAAATTTCCAGGTGTCCACGCTAAGTGGAATGAATCAGTGCTTGGGTGGTACATTCAGGTCCTAAATACCCATTCCTAAGTGCAGGATAAAGCCTGCCTCATTTCCAGAAGTGGCCAGGTTTTATGTCCTCCTATTATTTTTCATTTTTTTTCTATCACATAGCAGGTTCATGTCTTCCCAGAAGGTGCTCACCCTCCTGAAATGATTTCATACATGCCACAGAGCGTAGGAGAAAGAAAAGTGTTTGAATATAAATTCCTTTGGAAATGATTGCAGGGGAAAATGGTGTATAACAACAAAAAAGGAAGCCTTGGCTCAGGCCCCTTAGAGCAATAACTCTTTCTGACTCATTTTCACTGATTGGCCTCCTCTCAGAGTAAATACAAGGGTATTGCAAGCTTAGCAAGCCTTCAAGATCGAGTGTGCTTGCTTCCCAATGGGGAGCAGAGCTGCTCTTAGAAAACTGTGCTACAGGTGAAGTTCAGTTTGGATTGGGTTCATCTCCCTGCTCACAATTTCTTCACCATCCTTGCCTCCTCAAATGTATTTCCTAAAAGCCTTTAATGAAAGATGAAACAGAGAGTGCCGGAGACCAGGATGCCAGGACACAGGCTTTATTACAGAGAAGACCACTGCCAGCTGCTTCCAGAGGAGAAAGAGAGCGAGGGCTGGGGTGCGGGCACCTTTTAAGGGGAGGAAATAGAGGGGACGGGGCTTAGGGAACTCAGCACACACTGATTGATGGTTTCATGTAAGGCCTATGATTAGGAACTTAGGGACTTAGAAATCTGGGGCTTAAGGTATTTGGCAGGTGCTCATTGGTGGTTCAGTGCTCAGGAATGTTTGGCTGCAGGTGGAGTTTACATCATTCTACATCCATCAGTTGGAGGAAGGGAGGATCTATCATTTAAGAGTCAAAGGAGAGCTAAAGATGGGTTCTTCAGACAACCTGACATTCTAGATTACGGGCTTTCCAAGAATCGAATAAATCATGTCCAACAGAACATACTTTTAACTACTCTAAGAATGTGGCCACATTCAGAAGAGCCACATGTTTTCACATAATTTTTCCGCTCCTTCCTTTCATCTTTTTCTCCATTTATATTTTCTTTATTAATAAACATTTAAGTTGAACATAGTGATTTAACTTTTTAAATGAGTGCCTACTGTGCACCAGGCCTGTTTTCTACATGCAGTTTCACATTTATTTTTTGTAGGCTTTTAAAGCAACATTTATTTTTTTAAAGTTAACATGTGCATATATAGGAAACTGGAAAACACAAGCAAAGAACAAAGCCATTCATAATCACAAGCAGTTTCCAGTCTGACGTGTCCTTTTAAGTCCTGTGTATCTACACAATTAAGCTTCCATTTTTATGTAATTAAGATGGTAGAGTTATGCATCATGCTTTCTCACACATCATTAATATTTATCACTTCAAAGTGCCAAAGCTATGAGTATTTTGATAACCAAGAATACTGTATACCAACTCAATTAGGCAGAAAATGTAATCCTGCCTTACTTGGTGACAAAAATTTCATAAAAGACAGAAATAGCAGCAGAAAGACCTCTAGATAAAAGATATTCACAAAGTTACAATTGAAATATTGTGTTCCCTTAATCTTCCATTAAAAATGAGACCCAGCCGAAACTGGTTTGGCTCAGTGGATAGAGCATTGGCTTGGGGACTGAAGGGTCCCGGGTTCGATTCCAGTCAAGGGCATGTACCTTGGTTGTGGGCACATCTCCTACAGGCAGCTGATCGATGACTCTCTCTCATTGGTATTTCTAACTCTCTATCTCCCTTCCTCTTTATACAAAATCAATAAAATATATATTTTTTTAAAAAATGAGACCCAAAGCAAGAATACACAAAGTATAATGTTTCTAAGAGAATTATGATTTATATTTTAAAATATTAGCAAGGAGGCAAGTTTTGACTGAAGTACTTAACAACATATTCCTATAGCATAGTCTAAAGAGAAACATGCACATCAGTGGTTATCCACAATGTGAATATGAACACATCCACACACACCCCACAGGAACAAGTCCTGATGGCCATTTCTGAGATGGTTCAACAACTCCATGTCCCAACTGCCTCTTTTTTTAATAATTACAACAAAAAGATATTTACAAACTGGTTAATTCACTAGCTCTGCTTTTTATCTACAAATTGGTTAATTCACTAGCTCTGCTTTTTATCAGATATTGTGAAAAAGACATTTAAAAAGCTCCAATGTTGCAAAATAAAGAATCTTGTCCACAATAAACAATTTTTTAGGCTTTTAAAGTAACATTTATTTTTTTAACTTAACATGTGCATATATATCATATTTATTCTTTAAATCAAACTCACAAGAGGAATACTTTCATGCCTGTGCAACAGCTAAAGAAACTGAAGTTCAGAAAGATTAAGTGAATGGCACAAGGAGATAAGCAATATTGGTCCTGTCTCAAATCCAAGTCTTTCTGTCTCCAAAGACATGTTCTTTCCTATACTGTCCTCCACCTCTCACCCAGCTCTGGAAGTTACACAGGGCAGATAAGAAACTGCATGGCCCATGTATTCTAAGCTGCACCAGAACTCAGGTTATTTTCTCTTCATATTTACTTAAAATACAGCATCTCTTATAGTGCAAAACTCATTTTAATTTCATCAATGCCTTTTGTATATATAAATTTCTCCAATTCTCCTTCCTTTAAAATTCACTCCTTCAAGTCTTATTTTCTCAAATTTTATGTTACTGTAAAGAAAGGGTGCTAAGAAGAGAAATCAAGGGATATTCATACTGAAGTACTCACTATAGACCATGATAACAAATACGTAGCTCATTAATGTATAAACAACCCTACCCCACCCTCACCCCCCAAAAAAAGAAGTGTGACTTACTGGGAGAAATAAAGGACAAAGAATAAAGACTGGCTTTGGAGTTATACAGACCTTAGTCTGGAACCACATTTGCTACCTTCTGCTTGATCAGGACCTTGAGCCTAACACTCAAGCTTTCTACATAGCCATACATAATCCCTTTCCTGTAAAATTAGAACCCCCTTTGTTTATAAGGGAGGTTAAATGAAGTAATGTACAGTCAATATCTGATTAGTTAGGTAGGCCTTCAATGTCCCTTTCTCCTCTATTCTTTCTGCCACTCTGAGGCTGAAATTTGCATTCACCCTGCTTGCAAGACTGTCTCATAAGTAACACTGGTCTTGATGGATTGGAATGTTTCTTGTGTCTTCTCTCAGTGAAAAAAATTATGAAGCAGTTATAATATGTAGGAGCAATGTCAGTGAATTATTTGGAAATATTTTGTTCCTCAAACAGACCATCTCAGATGGACTGTGAGTACAATATTCTAGCTGAATTTCACTACAAGTTAGAGCTCATTCATCTAACACAATTCCTCTACCTTCTACAGGAATCTCTACTTTATGTATTGATTAAACAGAAAATGGTCCATTGTATTTGTACAACAAAACAGAATCATGATAAATGCTGCTGAGTTAACAAGTTTCCAGTAGAAACACATCAAGCTGTAGATGAAAAATAAGAAATAGGAGACTGCTATCAGTTAAGGCCTGAGATAAAACTTAATGTGAGGTACTTCATTGTCTCTGGCCACCCTGCTGTGCTAGTTAGGAGGTCTGTGGCATGATGATAAATTTGGAACCCTACCCAATTTACCAAAACCCTAGCAGAGGACTAGAATGTGAAATCTAACTGCTCTATTATATGTCATATTTTTCAAAACCCAGTTTAAAATATAATTTCAGTGAAATAAGACATGTCTGAGCTTTGCCTCATTATTAAGACAAAGACATTTAATTCCTTTCGGATCTTACTGGCTTTGCTGACTAACTTTTCAGGCATAAAAACTTTGTAAAATACAAGATAGATTCAATTCCAAAAGGTTTGAGAGCAATCAAGAGTTGGGAAACTTTCTTGATTATTTCATGGACTTGACTCAGTGGAAACCATTGTCATTTCAATTTCTTTTGAAATAAATGTAAAACTTCTTGCCTTCATATCGGAGACTCAAACATCGACTACTCTGACCCTTACAAGCAGTTTGGGGCACAAATAGACAAATTTCATTTTTCTAATGAAATATATTTCCAGAGTTAATTATTCTATCTCTATATGGCCAGATGAACAAGAAGTCAATACCTTTCACAGACTGTCCTCCCTTCCTTGAACTTAATTTAAAAATTACCTTAAAACCCTCCTTAAAGAGGTCTACCCTGCTTAATAATGTCTTTACTGAGGGAGAACCACATAATAAGATGATTATGAGAGAGCCCCATTTTCTACTGCTTTGTGTTGCTTTGCTCCAGTTTAGCTACTCAAAATCTGCATTGCCTGGTACTGTCATACCCTACTGTTGTGACAGAGCCTTGCAGTGGCCATTTAAGGCTAGCGAAGAACAAAAGAAAGGCTCTTCCACTCAGTGTTAAGCTTAGTCAGTGCCATATCATCTCCAGCCAGATCACTCTCTTTATTTAACCCCTGCTCCTACTGCAGATCCCTGTGTGGACTCCTGAGATTTCTTAAAAGAAGACAATCCCATTCCTTCAGCACTCTTATGCTCAGCCAAGGATGTTTAAGATTTGGTCTTTTCCCAAGTCCAGGGTTGAAGTTGTAGTCATGCATTCAATTATTTTTCATTGAGCCTTATCCCAGCTTGGACTGCTTTATAAATGACCATAGTCTGAATGACTTCTCAACAATAGAAATTTATTTCTCACAGATTTGGAGTCTGAAAGTCCAAGGTCAGGGAGGCAGCATAGTTGGATGGTTGGATTCTGGTGAGAGCCTTCTTCCAGGTTGTAGACTGCTAGCTTTTTCCTATATTCTCATATGGTGGAAAGAAGGCAAAAGAACTGGGGACTCCACCCTAATGATATAATTACTTTCCAAAGGCTACACTTCTTAATACCATCACATTGGGGGTTAGGATTTGAACAGGTGAACTTGGGGGCTGATGGCACACATACATTGAGCCAATTATAAGCATCAATCATAGGGAAAACTCAGTTCTAGCTGTTGAGAATTCATTCATGAGAAAGATACAACCATTTTGCCCTCCTGGAGTTTATTTTATTCCCTTTAAAGCACACTGTTTGTCCCAGAGTGACTGAGTTGGGAAGGGCGTTCATCTGCATCCATATGCTGCTCTAGAAAAGGTCCCATGAATTCAAACTGTCCCCAGGATGGACAGTGACAGGCAATAATTAATTTTTATATGTGAGTTGAGTTGAGATTATGCCTTGGAGCACATGCAGCTGATACACAAGGACAATTGTAGGCTCAGAACAGTAAGAGATGAGAAGTTAGATTTCACAAAATATTCTTTTAATAGTTTGGCTTTCAAATAAAGACCAATATTATACTCAACCCACTTATAATATTGAGGCTCATACAGTGATGGTTACAGCCAGGACCTGAGTTTGATTGGTCTGCCACCTGTTTGGTGTATAATCTTTATATATATCTATCTTGATTTTTTGCAGAGAGGAAGAGAGAGGGATATAGAGTCAGAAACATCGATGAGAGAGAAACATCGATCAGCTGCCTCTTGCATTCCCCCCGTCCCACTGGGTATGTGCCCGCAACCAAGGTGCATGCCCTTGACCAGAATCAAACCTGGGACCCTTCAGTCCGCAGGCTGATGCTCTGTCCACTGAGCCAAACCAGTTTCGACTGGTGTATAATCTTAATGCATCTGCCTGGTTTTCTCATCTGTAAAAATGAAATAATAAATGTAAGTATCTCATAGAAGCTTATGTATATTACTAAATTAATGTATGTTCAAAACAATGTCTGAAATGCATTTAGCACTTGCAAATAACAGCCGAGATTTCTTATGTTCCAATCGCTAAACATATGGTTTGAAAAATAAGTATTGAAGCACATCAATTTGCAGATTATTCTGTTATTGGGCTTTTGACTTAAAAACTTAATCATAGTATCTATATCTTTTGGTCACACTCCATTTTAAGAAGTGTGGTGTTTCACAAGTACCAGTTTGGCTTATTTAAGAAGAAACCTCTGCTTTAGTAAAGCAAGACAGTGACTTCAGATGGCACTAGGGTGGATTAATAGACAATGTCATGCCAACATATTTTCCTTGCTAGAGAGCATCAATGCTTTATCCTATGTTTATTAAGTGCTGAGGGAAAGTGATACCAAGATGGTCATTCAACACAAGAATCATTCACCATTTTTCCTAAATCTATGTGTTCTCTAAATTTATAGTGATAAGATTTTTATCTTTTTTGAAACACGAACTTTACCTATATGGACTAAATGAATACACGATGGTGTATAAGCAGCTGATAGAGCTGCAATATTACCTAGGGATATATTCAAAATATTTAGCTCCTGGGATAGTATAGGCTTTTCTGTAAAGAATTATTTGTGCCTACTGGTAAAAATATCAAACCCTCTGTTAAAAAGCAAAATAATCTACTCAAAATTGAACTCAACTATTGTGGGTAATGTCTGATGGGAATTGGAGTTAAATTTATGCTAAATTATGAAAAAATGTATCCATAAACATACAGAGTGGGATGCATAATGAAGAATGAGCATGCATTTCAATACAGAGATTTTTGACAAGAAATATCATAAATGGCTATTATGAAGGAGCTTATAAAAATTCTAAATTAGATGTCTGAGATGATGGCTTTGAATGGTTCTAAATTTTTCTGCATGTTTAGGGAGGGCCAAGAGTGTATTTCCAGATAGACCTGTGCATTCTGCATTTGGGATACTATAAAACATGCAAATCAGGTTAAGTAAAGTAATCAGAGTCTAACACATATAGAGAATCATTACTCTCTGCTCTGCTATTATGGTGCACAATTTCTAGCTGTGTGTGTGACAGGTGACACAGAGGAAGTGGTAGTGTGCTATTGCCAAAGGAAACAATGTCTGCTTGGGACTCTGCCTGTCCATTTTCCAACGGGGACCAGTTTCTTCTGAAACTGAGGTGCCTATTGTCTATACAGAATGAGCTCATCAGTGATTTAGGATTAGGGTGACCTCAAGTTATTTGTGAGTTTGTTAATCTTCATGTGTGCTAATTGGAAGGACATG